CTTGGATATTCCCCAGCTCTTTGGGGAAGAAGCCAGGGTGGCTGTTCCTTTGTAGCTGCCTTTCTTTCTTTTAGACATAACTGCATTTGGGTTTATTTTTTTCTGCCTTTGCAAAACTAATTCAAACAGGGTTTGATGCAGCACCTGTTAAGGATGTCAGAGCATCGACCAAGTAATCTAATCTGAAATCTTCTCATTTCTTGTAGCATACCTGGAAAAACGTTATGCAAAAAGAATGATCATGAACAGACCAGGTTTATTTAAAAAAAAAACTTTTCAACGATTTGTCTATAAGAAAGGGATATTTTCTTTTTGGCTAAATATAGAATGTAAGACAACCTCAACCTATCAACTCTGCAAATGTTGAGTTTCTCCTTCATGCCCACTTCTGAACCAGATCATAAAAAGCATATTCGGGCCAGGCACGGTGGCTCATGCCTGTAGTCCTAGCACTCTGGGAGGCTGAGGCGGGTGGATCGCTCAAGGTCAGGAGTTCGAGACCAGCCTGAGCAAGAGTGAGACCCTGTCTCTACTCTAAATAGAAAGAAATTAATTGGCCAACTAATATATATAGAAAAAATTAGCTGGGCATGGTGGCGCATGCCTGTAGTCCCAGCCACTCGGGAGGCTGAGGCAGGAGGATTGCTTGAGACCAGGAGTTTGAGGTTGCTGTGAGCTAGGCTGACGCCATGGCACTCACTCTATCCTGGGCAACAAAGTGAGACTCTGTCTCAAAAAAAAAAAAAAAAAAAAAAAAAAAAGCATATTCGATGCCACGTACCAACCATTTCTCAAAGACCTCACTATTGTCACCATCATTGTGAATGAGAGGTTATGCAGCATTCTCTTATTCTAATCAAATGCTAAATATGTAATGCTGACATGTCATTGTACATTAGAACAGGGTATTTAAAATAAGGTGATAATTAGGTGGAGAAAATGAGAGGAAAGCAGAATTAGATATTGGACAACCAGAAGCTTCTCTAAAATGTTGTTTGAGCATGAGCTGATCTCTAAAGAACGGTTTGTTTGGAACACATTCTAATGTGCTTGGAACGCATTCTTATTCTTATCTTGAAAAAAGCTGAAGTCTGGCTTCCTCGGGTACTCTATTCTGGCCTGTTAACATAAACGCTGGGGTTTTCTTCCAGCTGTTGTGGTAGGGAGTCTGTAGCATGTGCTTTCCTAGTGACTCCACACAGTGAGATAAGGTGATGCTTGCCGACTTGGGGCTATGAGACGAAGCCACATTGGTCCACGTGCACACCAGTAGGAGCAAAAGTCCTGAAAGTGGAGCCTCTGGCATGACACCAAATCATCCAGTTGTCCTAATTGCCTGCAGTGAGACAGATGTCACAAATCCATCTCATTGCTATGAAGTTTTACCTTGTGTCCAAATGCTTAGTAAGTAATAAGATGGTGGGTTTTCACAAAATCTTATACTGAGTCACTTTATGTTGAGAAATAGATTCAAACCCTTTTCTTGAGCTATTAAAAACCTAGTCTGTTCTGAACCAAACCTCTGACAAGGAGTAAAATCGGCCACCTTATGTGACTAAATCGTATCTCTACTCCACTTCTTAAAGTGGATGGAAGAGCATAGGTCTGGGCTCAGCTCTGTGCCGTGTCTGTCCTTGAAGCAAAAAAGCACAACATCTCTCAGGAGCTGCTCGGTCCATGGTACTGCATGGGTCAGCAAACGTTCCTTGAGTCCAGTTGGACCTGCTGATTGTCACAGTGCTTTAAGAATCTTAGATGAGCAAACTCTATGTCAATCTTAAAAATCCCTTTAGTTTGAACTGCTTTTCTTCAGATAATCACTAAGATATTATTTAGCTTCTTTCCATCTCACTCAACCTCAGCTGACACAAGAAGTTGTACAAGTGGCTTTATGTCATCAAGTTTTTACTTAGCTTTGGAACAACTCTCTGTCTCTCATCTCGACAGCTGAAAAGGTATTGTGAAGTGAGAAATTGTACCCCAGTAGTGATTCATCCAAAAGTGATAGGAGAAATGAATATGCACACATGTAGAGTAGATTTTTGAAAGAGGACAAGAAGGCTCCCTATAGAGGCACTTTAAAAATAGACTCATGTCAACAAATTGAATAAAGGTGCCTTCTTTCCCTGCCCTCCCTTTCGACTTGCCAAGCTGTTGCCTTGTTTGATTGTTTTGATTGGTCTAGGAATGTGTGGCAATGCTCAGTATGAAGTGCGTTTTGCCAGAAAGGCTGCTTGAAGTGACCCAGTAACTCACAAGGAAGCTGGAAACTCACTGAACTCCCCCCACCTGCCCTCACAAAGCCTGGTGCCACAGCTTGGGAAGCCCTGCTCATTCTGCCTCCTTGTAGCCTCTTTTAATTTTCTGACAAGTCCCTATCCCCTACCTCAGTGTCTGCTTCTGAAAGTTCAAATTATTTTTTCTCTCTGAGGAGCTGTTACTGGGGCTGTCATTTATTAGGACATTTTTTTGTGAGTGTGTGTGTGTGTGTGTGTGTGTGTATGTGTGTGTGTGTGTGTGTGTGTGTGTGATGTATGTCATCAAGAACTAAATGCAGCCACGTCTTTCTGGTTCTCAATTACTGAATCCTGGGCCATGATGACACAGCAGTTCTCGCTATGGTTGGTGTTCCGGCGATTCATTTTCGACCACTGATCAGGCCATTTCTCCCTCTGTATTTTAGTTTCCCAAAGTAGGGGAGATTTCCATCAATATCCAACCTCTTTCCCTAGCCCCCTTAACCCAGGGTTCTGTAAGATAGTTTCTCAAGGTTCTATAACTTGATCTCATGGTTTTATAACAAAAATAAAACCAAACAACAACAACCAAAAATCCACCAAAACAAAACCTGGCTTGGACCAAGATAAACGTCCCCAATGGGCAGGCATCTCACCTGTTCCAGGACTCTTTAAAAACTCATCGGATAGCAGTCCCCCCCAAACAGGCTTCCCAGACAAAGTATCCAAGTGGGCTGGGGGCTGTGTCTGAAAACTACCAAAAACAAAGTAATAGTTAAAGAAAGCACTGGATAACTTTTTCCTTCTTTGAAGCTTAGACATTCTTAATTTTTTTAAATGTAAACTTCGCTTTCCCACTCTATTCCAAATGTATTTAACTATCCAAATATCCTGAAGGCAGATCAGATTAGTCAGTAGAAACTTAAAAAATAAAAATGTAGCCTGACCATTTCCAAATACGATAGTTTTGGTGATTTGGATTTAGCCTAAAGCAGTATTGCTATATGTGGACTCTGCCTTAGCAGAAATAAAAACATTTGGTAATTAGCTTTTACACATTGTATCCAAAGAGTACTTCAAAAGTTCTAGAAAATATTTTGTATTCCCTGAAATAAGGCAAACATGCCCCTCCTCAATCCCTTGCAATCCTAATTTGCATTATTCCTGTTCTCAAAAATTTCTCTTTCTTTCGGTAAACTTCAGACCTTGGTAGAAGGACTGAAATTCAGTCCTTGTTAGAATCCTCATGGATCACAAACCATTAGGATCCAAGTGAAACCATATTAGGTTCATTTATGAGACATTTACTTAAATTTTTATTAGAAAGAGGAAGTCCTGCTTCTGTGTCTCTTTAGCAGCACAAAATAGATTTCTGAAAGAGCAGAGCCTTGTTTCCTTCAAGAACACCCTTAAGCCAAAATACATGCAACCCACTCAAGGTTGGGCTGGGTATTCTGATAGAACCTAATTATGTCTTAAGAGAACATAAGTCAGAACAAAGGTGAGTGAATAATGTGAAAAAAGGGATGATCATGAACCAAGAGAGTGGTCTAACCATTGATCTTTCTGCATCTCAGCACTGAGATCCTCTGAGCAGCCCTTGCTGTTTATAAATCAATCTTTTCAAGATTTCATGACAATCTTGAAGTCTTAAGAGAAACATCACCAGTCTGCAGAGGGGAAGATCTTTCTAACATCAATATACAATGACCTATAAACCCAAAGCAGACAAAATTACTGACACTCACTAACTAGTTGTTAACCAAGTCACCTGAGGGTGCAGATGAAGAGTTTGCAGGGCCTGTTTCACGGTGAAAGGATCATTTTGATCCTGAAGATCGCTGGTGGCAAAGCCCTTATAAACAGGGTGGAATTCTAGATTTATTCTAGAGTGGACCACAATGGACCTACTCACATGGAGACCTAGAGAGGATTGACTCAATCTTGGAGAGAAAGAATGAAAAAGAGGAGGAAGAGGAAGAAACAAAATTATATCCTAATGATTCAACACCTACCATGTATCAGTACGTCACACATACTTTTATTACTCCCAGTGACAAACCTATAAGGTGGCTTTCATTCTTCTATAGAAGAAACCAAGATTAAGTGACTCTCCTCAGGCCATTCATTTATTCAGCAAATATTTATTATGTATCAGGAACTGTTTTAGGTGCTAGTAAACAGTGTAAAAAGAGGGAAAAACTCTGTTTTAATTAAATATTTTTTAGACCTTTTAAAATTATGACTCTCAACAAGAAATGTGTATTAAACTATTACACATTATTTACTCCTTATAAATACATGTACATATACATTTGAAACAAAATGTTTACACATAAACTTATGCTCTACTATTTTCTTTTCTATTTTATTCTTCCTTTTAAAAACCTGAGTATAACCAATTAAATTGATTTTATAATTTGTTGATGCTTCATAACCCAAAGTTTGAAAACATTGTCTTAGTGGAGCTGAATAAGATGGGACTACTATTGATATTAGTCAGTATCAAGAACTCTGACATTATTCTCATAACTCCAAAGCCTGGAATTATCTGTATCTTTTTAGGGAAGATTTTCATCTGTGGAAGGAGAACTATCTGACTCTACGCAGGCTAGAATGGTTTGGTGGAGGCCACATAACTCCAATTTGGATCTCCCAAGATGTTCAACCTCCATCTCTTCTTCATAACATGTCTTCTGTTTGCTCCCAGCAATAACAATGTGTTTTATTTTTTTCCTCTAACTCTTTGTTCTTCCCACATAGGCTGACAACAGAATATCCAGGCCACTATGGTGAGGAAATGGACATGGTTTCCTACAACTATGATTACTATATGCGAGGAGCAACAACCACTTTCTCTGCAGTGGAAAGGTGAGAAGGACAACCCCGTGTCCCCATGGGCTAGGGGTTATAGGAGCGAGGGTCTAACTCCATGCAAGGATTATGTCTGCAAGAATTTTGATCTGGGATTTTCCCTATTTTAGTTTCCTACTTTGTCAAGGATTACCTGAGGGTTTGGCTGGACAACAGGAGGCAGTGGGAAGGGGGCTGGTCCTAGGAACTCACCTCCTGGAGCAGCTCACCCTTGGAGATGAGGATGGAAGCCAGCCTGCTCCAGAACAGACAGTCCTAAGCTCGGTGTTTCTTGATGTTCTGAGCTCTTCCCCTCACTTAATATCACAGAGCACCTTTCCTCACCAAAGATCAGGAGGAGAGGGCAAATATGTTTGGAGGTGTGTGCACTGTCAAGATGGACCGTCTTTAATTTTGTACCTCTATATGTCCCCACTTTGAGTTGTAGAAAGGGAGAGAAAAGAAGGGGGGGGATTGGAAAGAAGGAACACACAAACCCTACTCAATCTGTTTGGGCTGCTACAACACAGCACCTTAGACTGGGTAGTTTATGAACAATAGAAATTTATTGTTCACAGTTCTGGAGGTGGGAAAATCCAAGAGCAAGGCACCAGCAGACTCAGTGTCTAGTGAGGGCTTGTTGCTGCTTCAAAGATGGTGCTTTATTGCTGGGTCCTCCCATAGGTGATGGGGCAAGGCAGCTCCCTTCAACCTCTTTTATAAGGGCTCTCAACCCATGCATGAGGACAGAGTCCTCATAACTTAATCACTTCCCAAAAGGTCCCACCTCTTAACACTATTCTATTGGGTATTAGGTTCTAACATATACATTTTGGGGGGACCACAACACTCAGACCATAAAATCTACAAACCATACTTAGAAATGAAATAGGAGTAATAACACCTCAATAAAGCTGGGGAAAAAAATTAATGAAAGAAGATAATTTAAAGAACCTAAAGAAAAAAAAATACAGAATTAACTTTTTTTGTCACCTTTCTCTCATGATCAGCTTCCCAACCCTATCTCAAATGCATCAAAATAAAACAAAACAATGAAAAGAAAACAAGAATGCTTCCCCCATTAATACAGATAAAAGTATCGGTAAAGAAGTGTTAAAGATTGATTTGACTTACTTTTAGTCAGGTGATAATCACTTTACACAGAAATGAGTTCCTGAAAAGATATCAATAAATTATTTGCAAACCAAATAAAACTTGGGTTAGCTCATTACATAGTGTACTATTATGAATCTGAGTGTGACTTATCTTTGTGTATAACCATGTTTTCAAATGAAATTGCATCTTACTTAATTAACATTAAAGTATTTAATATGGCCTAGAATTAAAAACAAACAAAGAAACAAACCAAAAAAACCCATGAAGTAGCTCCAGAAAGGCACAATATATGTTATTGGTTCATGTACAAAAGTCCTAATGTTTACCCATAAGAGAATTCCTCTGTTCTCATACATTACTTATTTTTATTTTAGATACATTTTTAACTAGCTTAGTTAACTATTTTCTAGAAGTAGCAAATTAGAAAGGAAACAGAGAATATAGTACTTAGAATAAAACTCATTTCACCAGTGAGAAGAAATAGCTTCTCACGCCCAACAAATATATTGAAGAAAAAGAAAGACCCATGAACTCAAAGAACATGGAAGCCTGGTGTCATTTAGCAGCAGTGTGTACCCCAAAGTGCAGAACAGAGTAACAATATAACAGGGGGCTCAATATTCCTAATGGTAACTCCAGGTCGACAAGAAAGTTAGTTCTCTATTTCCTGTTTAAGAAGGCAGGAAAGAATGTAGTAAAGAAAAAATGCCTTCCAAAACTATTTTGAAATAAATATATTTTGAACAGTTAAGATGCCTAATTCCTGTTGGCTTGGTTATGGGGCATTACCCAGAATCATGAAAACCAAAGATATTATGTCATTGCATTGGTCTAAAATTAATATCCTCCCCCAAAGTAAAATAAAATAAATATACCCATGCAATTTTGCTGCTGCCACTAAAAATCAGTGGCTTAAAGATCCACGATCTGACTTTCTTCAGTTCTGCTGGAAAATGCTGAGGTCCCCACCTTGGAGAAATATTGTTAGTGCAGGACTCGCTGGGCAAGGGCTTTCCCTCCATGTGCAGATCACACTGGTTTCTTCCTGGAAATGGAGTTTCTCAGCCTGCACACTATTGACATCTGGGACCAGATAATTCTTTGTTGTAGGGGTCTGTCCTGTACATTCTAGATGGTCAGCCTACCCACTAGATGCCACTAGCACCCCACTGCCAGTCATGACAACCACAAATGTTTACAGACATTGCCAAATATCTTCTGGGGAGTAAATTTGTACCTGGTTAAAAACCACTGTCCTGGAGGGAAATCAGAGACTGAACCTGGTTGAATCCCTTGGACCTCATAGGACCAAGTTTAAATTTCGCTCAGTATCAACTAACAGCTTTTTAGAAGAGTAGTATGAACCCCTGGCCTTAAGATCTTGTGTATCTGTGCTTGTGGGTACACAGATAGATAAGAATTGACTGCAGTAATTAAATTCATTTGGTAAAGCTGCATGCTACCAATTTGCCAATCTCCATCTAAAACGAGCTATGTCCTCTGTTGACAATCATAGGAACAAATACCAATAGTTGATCACGTGGCCCTCAAAGAGTTGTGTTGGGGGACTCTACTCCCAGTTGTTCTAAACAAACAACCTGGAACACCAGACTCAGAATTAGAATGGCTGCCAGAGGTGGTGTGAGCAGAGTACGCCCTACCTCCCAGGACTGACAGCAGCCAGGCCACTTTCCAGTTCAGAAGCTGGATGGAGGCTTTGTCAGTCGTAGTGTTTAGGATAAACTGAATTGGAAAGGGGCCTTGCAGACTGAAAAGGGAGACAGATAATTCTAAGGTTCTACTGTGCTTTGGAAGGATTAGCATGATCCAACATGGAACAACTCTTAATTTTTTCCCTTTATTGGGACCATGGGAAGGGGATGACAGCCATGTCCTCTGCTGGGGTTCAGGGTCCCTAGTTACGGAGACAGTGTGGTATAAGAGAAAGGCCAAGATTTGAGCCCAACAAACTTGGAATCCGAAATGGTCGCCTGCCACCTATCATTTGTATTGTCATAAAGCAAGCCACTTATTTCTCTGAGCCTGCTTCTTCGCCTAAACACAGAATTATTGTGAGGATTAAAAGAGAAAACATTTAAAGCATCTAGCACAATGCCACGTATGTGGGAGGTGTCAATTAATAGTAGTACCAATTATCATTATCATTGTTACATGACATTAGGCCACAGGAGTGTCATGCAGTGTGTGTGGGGGGGCTCCATACATTCTTTTGTTACATGGACGAACAGAAAACATAACATTGCCCTTAGCAGAGAGCATTCCTTGAAAGATGTCCACATGATATTTTTCAAAATCAAGCAATTCTATGTACCCTCATGCCCACCCCGACCACTTAAATAAGTAGGCAATTGCATTTCTGGAATGCCAGGGTGGCAAGACCTTTTCTTTTTCACTTTAAGGGGTCTCAGAGTTGTTTCTCCTCACTTCATTTCTCTGTGACGAGTACTCAGTAAAAGAAAGAATCAGTAAGAAAATCGGTGGACTTTTTAGAAGCAGATTCTTTACAATAAAATGGAGATGGTGTTAAACGAATGCTTTTATTCCAAGCTGTTAACCCTTGGGGTCCTTGGGGCGCCTTTGGGAGACGGCAGGGTGAGCTGGGCCCGTGGTGCACAGGAGCCTCCGCGTGCAGGGACCCAGTTAGTCCCCTTCCAGGCGTGGCCTGGCCTCGCAGATGCGCAGGTTCTCTGGAGATGTCACAGAGACGTCCCCCGAGAGCACAGTGAGGTCACCGGTCCCTGCAGTCCCCAGATCCTCCCAATGTTCCTTGCTTTTTCCCAGCAGGGATTCTTCCCGCGGGGTCTTTCCTCACTGACGCTGGTTCTCTGACTCTCCCCCTCGCAGGGATCGCCAGTGGAAGTTCATAATGTGCCGCATGACTGACTACGACTGCGAATTCGCAAACGTCTAGATTCCGGGCGGAGGGAAAGGAGCCCGGGGAGCCGAGCGCGCCCACGCGCGTCCGCGTCAGCCGGCACCCGCGCGGCCGTCTCCGCCGCGCTCTTTCCTTCTCCCCGAGCTGGAAGCTGCAGCGCCAGCTTCCTGGGCCTTTCTGACTCCTATCACACTTATAATAAAACCCACAAGTAAACAGCGTTTCTCACTTTCCACACGTTCCATAGCAACCGTTTTATATGACCGACGATGGCGGCCATCGCACGCCAGGGGCACAGCGCGCATGCGCACAGCCCGGCTCGGGAGCGCCGCCTCCGCCCGGCGGCGGCTTGCACTGCACCGCGGCCTCGCGCTCCGCGTGGAGGAGGGCCGGGTGGAGGGGAGGGGCCCTGGAGGCTCCCTACAGCTAGGTCTGGTGCCACACAGGGTCCTCACCCAGGGCAGGCCTCCTGCCCAGGGGGGACGCGCTTCCACTCTCCCGCTCCAGGGGAGCCCTTAGAAGTCCAAGTGCAGAGCTCCCACTCCAGGAGTGAGGGGACTGGGAGGTGAAAGTGGGGAGGCGTGCTGGAAGGATTTCCTGAAGTAGAAGACGAATGTCAGCGTACCCAGAAATGACAATGAGGGCAGGGGCCAGGAGAACCCGTGAGAGTCAGTCTCAAGCAAGACAAAAAGCAAGGAGGGAGAGAAAGGCCAGAGAATGGGACTCAGATTGGGAACTCGGGGCCATGGTAGTGGCCAGGTTGCTTTGGGAAATGGGAAAAAGTGGTTTGAGTCACTGGCACCTAGAGGCAGGCTCAGGATTTCCTCAGGCTGGCATGAGCCCCTGGGCCAGGGGGAGCTACTGGCAAACTCCTCAGTCTTGGTCCTGACTTTCTGGGTGGGAAAGGCTGCCCTGGGGACCACTTCCCTTCTGCGTGCAGCTCAGAGGTGTCTTCTGCAGAAGTGCCACTATCTTTCCTCCTCTGGTGATGTCTCTGTCCCCAGCCCTTTGTACTCTTCATCAATAAAGGAATAAAAATATTAACATGCACTACGCTGCAGATGTTTTGGGTCAGTTTTTGTTCTCTACCCTTCCCCTTTCCTATGATTCATTCATCCATTCTGAAAGTGCAGCTTAGCATGATGAATTGTGCTAAGCAGCATGCCAGGTACCAGGGACACAATGATGACAATGACAGAATGAGGTTGGGGCATCAGATCATTAAAATGTAAAGTGCTGAGTGCTTAAGGATTGAACAAAGGATGGAGCCACATGCCTTTGCCTCTGAGTCTTGCCTATATTTCCTCCGCATCCTTCAACCCTCTTTGCCCCAACTTGTCACAACTTGTCCTGTGGTTTTTAACCACAGGAAGCCCCTATTTTCTTTATCCACACAGTTTGCCTTTTCTGTTCTGTTCTGTGTTGCCCTTCCCTCATCCCCTCTCCCGGGGTTCCCAGGAGAGGAGCCAGCCAGGGAATCACAGGGGTCATCTGCCTTGTCGTACACCCCAACCTACATGGTCAGGATGGTGACTCTCAGCTGCCAGGCACTGCGTTTCCTGCTGCAAGACTCCAGCACCGTGATGGGGAAGGACGTCCTCCTTTGCCTTAACTCTAAAACATTTTTTCACATTATAGTTTTGTTCTATTTCTTCCATTTCATTGTTTCTGTCTCTCTAGCAATGTTCATTTGCAGTAAGAAGCTTCTTGGTGTTATTTTTCACAAAGGGGGCCATTAATATTTTAGCGACTGCAGTGCTGGCTCAGCTGTGAGGGAGCACAGCTGGGAGGGAGACAGGCCATGCTGAAGGGCTGCCTTGGCACCCAGGAAGGAAACACAGGGCTGGGGAGAGGATTTGGGGCTGGGAGAGAGAGACCTGCAGCTGGGAGGAGCCATCCAGAAAACAGCAAGAGAACATGAGTCAAGGAAAAAAACAAACAAACAAAAAAAAACAAAACTGGAAAGTGGAAAGCAATCCAAGAAGAAGTACCTGTGCCAAACGGAATAAACAGAGAAGTTTTTACCAAAAGAAAAACCATTCTTTGCATATAGGCCAAGGACAACGACAGGACAGATATTGTCAACCCAGTTTGAATCTGAATGGTTTATACTCTGTATTATACATCATTCAGTAAGAAATGAGTGACTGAGTGAGGACGAAATCCCAGATCTTCTGAGGGCAAGTTCTCACTCTCTGTTCTCTTGTTACTCCGATCTCTCTCCTAACTTGCCCCACAGTCTTGGATAAGTCACCTCTCCTTCCTAGGCCTACTGTCCAAAATGAGGGCATTTATCTAGGGCACCATTGTGAGTTTTTGCAATTCTAGAATTCCATGAACTCTGTCATCTGCCCCGAATTGTTTATGAAGGGATTTGCTAAGGCATTTTCTTTCGGGGAAGAAGCCTGGAACTATTAATAGTAGGAACCGAGACATAGGTCCTACCCCAAGCTCTGACAGAGGGTGGCTGTCCCCAAGTCCCCAAGCCACCCTTCTCTCATCTGCCCAGTGTAGGCAGGAATTCCTTTCCCGACACCTTCACAAGATGGTGGTCACGTAAAATGAGATGAGGGGAAGAAGAGAGAGACACGATTTCTGCCTCACAAGGCCTACAGCCTAACAGTGAGGTGAGAAAACAGAGATGACAGTGAGTGAAGGAACGTTCCCTGAGAAAGCTGAGTCTTTGCTTGGCCTTGAAGGATGAGTGAGACTTCTACAGTGAGTGGAAAAGACTGTGTGCTCTGGATTCGGAGGGCACAAATCCCGGCTCTGTCACTTTCCAGGTTCATGACGTTGGCCAGATCACCTTTCCTGAGACTCTCTTTCCTTATCTGTAGAAATAATAGTACTACCTACACCATGAGCTTGTTATAAGGATTAAGTGAGATCATATAGTATCTTGCACACAGTTAAGTATCCAATAAATGTAGTAAGAGAGGGGGAATAGTGTTAGTATACATTAGAAATAAAGTTCCTTATGTAAGCTGGATTTCAGTGTAGGTCACTGATAGGAAAAGTTCATAAAATAGGCAAGACTTAAGTTTGGCTCTCATTCCTTCATTTATCCATTTGTTCAGTCACTGAATTAATAAAATTTTACATGCTTAATATATACTATTGCTGTACTGGACACAGTGTCTGCATTCATGACGATTATAAACTAAAGGAGTCAGATAAGCAAACAAGCTATTGAGTACAGTTTAGTAAGTCAAGGACAGATGGCATTTCCACAGAGGGTGGTGAGGGATGGGGGTGGAAAAAGAGACAGTGGCATTTCAGGCAATGGAAATAGTATTATGGAAGGCATAAAATAATACATGGGCTTAAGGAAGTTTCCCAAGGAAATGTTGGCCTCACCAAAAGAGTCTGGGAAGCCCAACATGCAGTCACAATGCCCCAGGGGAGAAATTGGCATCTCTCACCAGCACCATAAGGCATTTCATTATTTGTGCATATTAACTGTAATTTATAGTGTCTCTCTGGAACTCAGACGGCCTGGGGAAGTCCTCCCTGCATCCTGGCTCTTCATCTGCACGTCTTTTTGCTCGACAGCATGGACCCAGACATGAAACCCAACACTTTCATAAGTTCCTTCAGAAGAATGCATTCTCACAAAGGCTTTACTGAATGTACAAAATTAAAGAAAATAAAAATAAAACCACCTTAAAATTAGCTGGTCCCACGTCCGGCTCCAAGCCTACTTGGGCGTCTTCTCTTATTAATCAGAGAAAATGGTGTTCAACACCCTCCATGCCCAACTCAGATGTGTCCACCGTGGTGGCTAACAGAACAAAGGTCATATAGTCAATAGCACCCACTCTCCTTATAAAGTCTCAATCAAATTTAATTAAACCACTTCTGTTTATTTCTGTTTAATTAAATCGCATTCTTAAGGAGTGGCTCCTGAACTGGTCACCATCCTGGGACCCGGAGTCAGTGAGGGGAGGTAAGTGGAACCCTTCACAGAAAGGTGCCTGGACCTATGACCCACTGACTTATTGAGTCTCTGTTATTCAATTTATTCCTTTGTAAAGCAAGAATGAGAAAATATTGCTACCTCGAAAGTCATTGTGAGAAATAATAATGATATATTTACACATAGCTCAGATTTTCATGGTGCTTACAAACTTTCATAGCATGGACTATCCCTAGAAACTGAAAACCAACCAAAACTCTCCAGTAATTTTAGTGCCTTGATAAGCACTTGAATCTACCATCATGTGACCTCCTTCTTCTCCTCACCCTACCCACCCATAAGGAGCCCAGTTATTGATGTGAAGGAATGACTTTCTGTATCAGTGGAAAATGATGAATAGAAATATTCCCAAATGAAAAGTATGATAGTCTGTGGATTATAACATTACTGTTTATTTCTTTGTTCTTCTTTCCATTTTTCTACTTTCCCTCACCTCATAAAAACAATGATCATTTACTGTGTTCATAATCAAAAAATAAAAGTAAAATTATGGAACAAAAACAGTCACTGGCTACCAAGCAGTTGAGCCCTAGAATGGGGTTCCAGCTGAAAGGTGACTACGTGGTTACTTCATGGACAGAAAGAGATTATAAAGCCAGACTCTTTCATCTAACCAGCTGCCTTAATGGGTTATAATGTAATATGCAGAATTACCTGCTCTTTCCAACATCTGTCACTGTCCCCAAAGACAATGGAACAGATGTTCAGCCTGTCATATGGCCAATAGGAAACTAACATTCACCACAGCAGCGGGAAATCTTCTCCCCACCTCTTCTATTCACTGAGGTCCTATGTCAGGGCCAAACACAGACTTGGCTTCCCCAGAAAAGCTTCCTGAGCCTTCCAAGACCAGTAGCTGTGTCAGCATTCTGTGTCTTCCTTTCCATATCCCTGAGGACAGGAGTCCTGACTCTCTTGTTCATTGGTAGATTTCCCATGCCCAACTAGATGGCATCACACATAGCATCCAAAACACGTATTTTGAAATTCATCTGGATTTCTGGTTGGCTTTCAGTTTTTATTGGGAAGGTCCATCAGAGCTCTAAGCAACCAATAATTGAAAAGGCATTTTGAAAATTATGAAGTTCTGTTAAGAGGCCAGGTATTATGGCGGTGCTGTGGTTTTGGTGGGGGTTAATGCCATCTCTTACTCCCTTTATCCAGCATCAGCAGGTAATCATTAGTTTCATCCTTTTAAGAGCTATTCACTAACGCTGGGTGAATTGGAAAGCACAGCAGCCATAATGGTCACTCACACACTTAGAAAGTGTACGTCACCATCCTAGGTAACTATGAACTATCTTAAAATGAACACCTGAGCTGCCAGCACAGTACCAGGCACTTGGTGGACCCAAGATGAAGCCTCATTGGCTAACTCCTGAATAGACAAGGGGACAGAGAGGTGAAGGGGGCTCAGGTTGGTAAATAGGAGGAAGCTAGTGTAAATTTGGATGCTGTTTCAGTCTTAGACCCACATGTGGGCAGGGTTTTTTGACTGATCTATCCCCTGCACCTAGCATAGGGACTGGCCCATAGTAGACATTCAAAAAATACCTGATGAAAAATTAAAAGTATAGCCCTAAGACAAATCTTACAGATTCACATAATCATACAGATTATGATGTCATGAATATAAACTTTAGAAGTCTTTTTCTTGTTACTTCCATTGAGAGCTTACTTGTGAGATGAGCTTGTGGTTAGATGGACCAAAGAAGTAAGGCTGCTTTCCCAGCGTTAGCTGGTTTCCTTTTCCTGTGGCTGCCTGGCAGGCGTTCATAGGCCATGCTGGTGTCTGGCATCTTCCTCCTCTGTGACTAGTGGATTGCAGCTGACTTGGATGTCTCCGTGGGCCTCTTTTGTTGGCAGACCCAAAGATGAGCTCATTAGCCCTTACACCATGGAAAGATGTTCTAGCGAGTCAAACATGCTCTGGATCACATCTGCCTGTTTCCCACCGCGACACTACATGTCATGCAGATTGGGCCTGCCAGGGGGCTTCCAGGAGAAAGGAATTGAAAATCTCTTGTGCAGTTTGAGTTGGAGAAGAACTTCACTCCATAGAAATTCACAGTGAAGGCAGGTTCTTAGTTCTCTCCATGCATAGGAAAGCCTTGAGAAAATTCTCTCGCCATCTCTGAAAAGGAGTAGAAAAAAAGTGGAAAGAGGCAAACAAGTGTATTGTGTTGGGCAGGGAGACAAGGCTCAGCCCATCCTGGAGTGGCACATGGCTTGTTCTGAATGGATAACCTCACGTGGCTGTGCTTTTGTACACATGATGTTGACTGTTACTACAATAAGGTGTTATTAATCATGTACTTTGTTCTTGGCACAAACTCAAGGAGGCCAAGAAGCATAAAACCCCTCTTGGTCAGGTGTGGTGGCTATAATCCTAGCACTCTGGGAGGCCAAAGCAGGTGGATCACTCAAGGTCAGGAGTTCAAAATCAGCCTGAGGAAGGACAAGACCCCGTCTCTACTAAAAATAGAAAGAAATTAATTGGCCAACTAAAAATATATAGAAAAAATTATCTGGGCATGGTGGCGCATGCCTGTAGTCGCAGCTCCTTGGGAGGCTGAGGCAGAAGAATCGCTTGAGCCCAGGAGTTTGAGGTTGCTGTGAGCTAGGCTGATGCCACAGCACTCTAGCCCAGCAACAAAGTGAGACTCTGTCTCAAAAAAAAAACCCCTCTTTTCTCAGAGATATTTTTTCTTCTAGATAAGGTGACAAGAACTAAAACCTGGAAGGATTAATAATGAGTAAAAGCAAGCTACTTACTACAGTCAAGCACACAGTGAGCGACACACACAGGAAATCGTATGCTGTGTCAGAGGTGGGAGAATCACTATGGGCTGAGAAATAGAAGATATTCCAACAGGTAAAAGGAGAGGCTTCATGCCAGTAGCAGAGACTGCCTGAGCAAACCTAGGGGAGTGAGGATGGTCCTCAAGGAACTGAGAAAAGCCCTGGGGCTCGTGAATCCAATTCTCAGGGTGGAGCCCACTGAAGTAAATGACTTGCTCAAGGACACCCATGAGTAGGTGACAGGGATAAACCAAGAATTCAAGACTTTGGGGTCTCAGCATGGTGATACACTCTGGCAGGTCCCTATCCAATGGTTTAGTGAAGTGGAGGGAGAAGGAGAGAATGTGCATTGTAAACTCTTGGACCTCATGCCCAAACAGGCTTTCCTAGGATACTTGCAGGTACTCTATATAAGCATGCTCACTGCCATTTTATACATGACTTCAAAGGTCTCTGGAATAGTAGGGAACTTGCCCAAGGTCACCGAGCTGGTGCAAGCGGACTTTGGACCCAAGACTAGCTGTTCACAAAGCCCAGTCATGTCTGCTGTATCAACTTGGAATCAAGGGTTTCCATTGGGAGTAAGAGGAGATAACATTTTTAAACTATGTTATTCATAGTTCAGTAGTTTAATAATGTATAACATGAAGAAATGATTCACAGGTTTATTCCAATATTTTAAATACTGCCCCTGGATAGAGAGATGGCATCGTAAGGTAGTCTGGAGATGGTATTGAAGGTCTAAGAAGCCAGATTAGTGGTCTGAAACAACAATGTTGCTATTCTACTTTTTTATCTTCATGTAGACCTCACCCATTGCAATAAAATCAGACACAGTTTCAACATCTCCTGCAGTTACAATAACTCTTGTTGTCTGCCTTTTAAAATGACTCTTAAATAACAAACCCTCTATAAACTCAATCTAACCCAAACAAGCAGGATTACTCTGACAACTGAGACAGTAATTGCCTTTGCTCGATCCCTCAGAGGCCTCCCAGGTCCTGCTCTCCATGAGAGCCACAGTCTTGTTTATCTTTGCTGTGTGCTCTGGGAATCTTTCTGCCTAGAGAACCAGCACATTCAATAAGTGCCACTGTCCTCTTCCGTCGATTAAACCCCAGGATACTAGATCCCTTAGCAGAAATGTGCTGGGCTATCAGAGTTCTAAACCATCTTGTCTCACAGTGCTTTTTCAACATTACCTTAGTGTGCAGGTTACCTGCATCCTAACCCAAACTGGTCACTGGAATTTGGTAGTTATAATATATTCTAGACACATTAATTGTTTTTCAGTAGCTTTAATTCCCAGTAAAGGAATTTGGACACCTAATCTTACTTAATGCAAGGAAATGAAATAATGTGGTCTATTAGACATGGTAAACACCTCACTTGCTAAAAGAAAAGCAGAAAGGTAAGCACATTTACCGTAGTGGCAACCTTAAGGCCCTTCCACAGGAAGAGAGCTGCCTCTGCATCATTGTGCCTTTGGTCCTCATTAGCCTCCGTGCCTTCAGAGCAGGTCTCCATCTCCTGGACATCCAGGTCTTTGGTTCCCCTGTAGCTCTAAATATATGTGCCAAATAAAAATAGTGACAATAATTAATGATTTTGGTGCATACTCTGAGGCAGGCCCTTTACTCAGCCCTTAGGTGCACCTCACTTGAATACTCAGAGTAGACCTACAAGGTGGCCGTCATTATCCTCATTTTCCAAATGAGAAAACTGAGACTCAGAGAGATTGACTTACTTTCTCAGGGACACACATCCTACACACTGGAACAGAATTCAGACTCAGGCCTGGATGCGCCCAGAGCCTGAATATTCTGGTGCATTCTATACTACCCTGAGGCCCCAGTATAGACTGTGTGCTATGCTGCCTTCTATGGGCAATGTCATGGACGGCTAATGTCACCACCCAGGGCTCAACCAGCATGAGCCCAAATCAACTTAACATCAAAGTTCATTTGAAACCTTGGGACTAGTCATCCCTTTCCTCGTACACATGGTTCATCACTGTCTTCTCAACACCTAGCAGAGGACCTAGAACATTGCTGATGTTTAATAATACATATTTCCTTACTATAAATAAATGAACAAATAAAGTCAATAAGTAGGTCAACAAAATATAAATATGTATGTAAAGTATATAAATAAATAAAATATAAACAAATGCACAGAATAAACTCAGCAAGTGAATATCTGCTGAACAAACGACTGGCTTACTCAGTTGATTATTCTTTGTTAATCCTTTAAGCCGCAGCCCCTTTGCTCATCTATTTGTCCCCACATTCTCTATGCATATTCTTTCAATGCATATTCCTTCCCTGTTGTTCTCATCCTCACATCCCCAAACATTTATACCGTCTGTGCCCACAGAACTTCTATCCTGTGGCTCAAAGGAAAAAGTACGAAACCGTCTTTTCACAGCCTCCTGCGTCACCTCCTCACCCTGCCGGAACCCAGGCTTTGCCGGAACCCAGGCTTTGCCGGAACCCAGGCTTTGCCGGAACCCAGGCTTTGCCGGAACCCAGGCTTTGCCGGAACCCAGGCTTTGCCGGAACCCAGGCTTTGCCGGAACCCAGGCTTTGCGGTAGTGCTGAGCGCGCAGTGCGCCTGCGCGGACTCTGACACCCGCAGAATCACTAGTTAGGCTTTTCGCCTCCTGAGTAGTTTGTAGGTTTGAGCTCTTTTACCTGTTCTCCAACGACTGCCCCATTCCAGATCCTTATGCTTGCTCCCCTGTCCCCTTAGCACCAGTCTTTCTTCAGGAAATCCAGCCCCCCCCCCCGCAAAAAAATCCCTGCTTACAATTTTGCATGTGTGGTCCCTAAACTCTTTCCAAGCACGTTCCCTTCAATGGCATAGCACCCTTCACACCCCACGCCCGCCTCCTGCCATGCCAGGCTCCAGGCACGCAGAATTAGTCAATCAGTCACGTTTCCCTGAAGGGATCATGTCCCTTTATGCTTCTGTGACTTTCCTTACACTGTTTCCCGGGCCTGGATGCCTCGATTCCTGCACCCTCTTTCCCTGGCTGATGCCCAGTGCTGTACTTTCTGGTTCCCAGGGTAAACAAATAGTCCCTCACTGGTGCTGCTGTATACCTGATCATACCTACTTCACAGCACTTGTCACACTTCTGCATTTTCCTGTTTCGACAGTGACTAACTGTTCTCTTTGTCCCTTTGTACCCAGTCCCAGCATATAGTAAGTATTTATTAACTATTAACTATACAAATATTTAAAAAGTGAAGGAAGTTCCTTTCAACGCCTGAAAGTCCATAGGTCCATGGAAAATAACTGCAAATAGAACTTGTATTTTTCCCCAGATTATTGCAGCAGCTTTCCATCTAGTCTCCCTGTCTCCACTCTCGCTGTCTCCTTCAAATCCCACTGACACAGGGCTGCCATAGCGATCTAACATGGAAATCTTTGGCTCTAAGGCACACACTTTCCATGATACTCATAGTACGTGGGTTTAAGTTCAACTACTCGACAAGGCATTAATGTCCTCCATGAAGTAGTGTTGTCTGCCTCTCGTCTCCTCACTCCCTGCCTGCCTTCCTTGATCCCTCCCAGGCTGGGGTAGGAGCCTTCATGGGGGATCCCACAATACTGTGTACAGAGCACTATCATTGCCTTTGCCACGATGCTTTAGGGTAACTATTTAAAATTATGTTCCCATCTCCGGAGAGTAAATTCCTTGAAGATAAGGATTATGTTGTATTTATCTCTGAAATCCTGTTAGCTAGCACAGTTCCTAACTCATAGCAGTTGCTCATTAATAGGTATTAAATTAATGGTATCTAATAATAGACACAATAGTGAGTTCGCATAAAAATACTATAATGCATTGCAAAGGAAAAGCACTTTTGGACACAGATTAGGCCTTCCAGGAGACTCTAAGTTCAATGTATCCCAGAATGCCAGAGGACTTACATTTCTCACTAAAGTTTTCAACTGAGTACAATGTTTCACGAATACTCTTTGGTACAAATCAAAGTCCAATGATGTCAGAAAAGACACACTGAAAATAAAAATGCAAATACTCTTCATAAAATACAGCTAATTTTATCAAGCATGAAGTTTTTAACACGCATTTTCAAAACTAATGTTACATTAGTTTTAACATTAACATCATTGCATTTATTGAGTGATTACACAGCAGCTGATTGTATTCCATCCGTGTGTCTCTCATTGCTGGCCACCACCTGATGCCACCTGTCATCAGGCAAGATTCCAGCCAATTGGTCAGCAGTATTTGTTAAAAACATCCTCTAGGGATAGCACCATATTGGTTGCAGGAGGGAATAGTGAGACAACAGGTTTCTGACACCCAAGTAGCTCACAATTTGTTTAGTGAGAACAAAGAGACACCCAAGAGCAAAGATAATCTATAAATACAAAGCTGTCCCCAGTGGAATGTGGTCTGCACATGATTATTGTCAGTGAACACAAACACAACTAACTACTGTGTAGTTGTCCCACACTCCTGTGTGGTAGGTATAATTGCTTCCATTTTACAAATGAGAAAGTAGGCACTCAAAGATTGTGACCTGCCCAAGTTTATGTAGCAATATGAGACTTGAACTCAAATCTTGACTCCCAAACCCAAGCTCTTTCCAGTACCACACAAGAGGCAAGTGTCAAATTTTGCAGAAAAGTATTATTAGGCCTTCCAAGTTCCCTCCAGCATGGGATTTTATAGACTAGCTCTGTTAAAGTAGATTTGGTTACATGTATTGGGACTAGGTAATCTACATGTCTTCTAATCTGAAAAGCACATCATCCTCTCTAGTCTGTATTTACAGACACCATCAATTCAGCCACAATTCAGCTGTTATGGATGAATTGTTTCGTCAAACAACCAATCAGGACAATGAAGAAACAAACAATGTATCTGACTTATTTGACTAAACGATTTAAGCACAATGGTTAAACCGATTAAGAGTGAAAGAAAGCCTTAGCCAAGTTCAATATTATGTCATTCCTTCAGTGTTATCATATTTAATATGATGCATTCCTGCTTATAACCAGCACCATGCATCATTAAAACTGCACTTTAGATATTAGAGTTTCTAATAAAATTTATTTTGATGACAACTATTCATTAGCCTCTTCTGGCTTCCTTCATATCTTCATATCCTTACAAAATTTTCAAAATTTATATTTATTTTATTATATTAATTTATGTTTATTATATTAGTTAATTTATATTAAATGATCACATGTATTATTATTGCTGTGATTTGAGCATCACACACATTGAGTGTCCACAGAATTCTCCACTTTCCTATGACACTGTAAGTGCGTCAAACTATTCGTCTGAATCACTATGAAGGGAATCTTTGAAGGCCTTTTGGAAATGTTGGAGGCAAATTTTCAACTTTCATTCAACTCCCATATGGTCATTCTTTTCCCCAAGAGTGAATCTTGAAAAGCTAGGGACTGTCACTTTCTTCCTCAAAGTGCTGTTAATGAGAACCATTTTGAGGCATCACAAGAAAGACTTCCTAAGTGCAGCACAGGGTATTAGCTTCAGCCTTGCCCGCAGACTGTGGGTTGGGCTACTGAAAGACCCACCCTGCACGTGCCAGCTGCACTCTACCTACACCTGACTTCCAAGTCTGGGCATTTCGTGTAATCGCTAAATTCCTAGGCAAATATTTTTTCTGAAGGACATTTCAACTTAAAACACAAACTGTCTGCCCCTAACTAGGATCTTATAGAAACATAATTCAGCAAAGAAAACCAAGAAAGAAAGTTTTTTTACCATGAAAGCTCTCACTTCTAGGGGCAAAAGGACTGATGTGGGCACCCAGAGAGACTGAGCCAAGGGAAAGCTCAGCCCTCAACTGAGCCCCTCCTCAGCTGGGGCCAGAAAAGCATGACAATGTCATTGAAGAGAAACAAAAAGACAGAATCCAAAATTTAGGTCTCATCACAAGGATCCCCATCTTCCTAGAAAAAGGTGGGAATGTGAGTAAATGTATAAGGAACCACTTTCATTGCAGATGACTGTAAGATTGGATAAGGGAATTCAAATTCTAAGTGCTCTGATGGACAAGCTTGCTCAAGAGGAGAAAGTCTCAGAGTGACCCACAAATACAATGAAATACTCAGGCACGTGATTTTGTCACATAAATCAGGTAAAAATGTTCTACTAACAAATTACATTTCCTGTTTTCTAGTATCCATATCTCTTTTTTTAAATGAGCATTTTTGAGTATGTAACATGTGCAAGTTTCTATACTAACGTCCTTACATATATTGTCTACTTTGACACAACCACCCAATGAGCGAAGTATTTTTATATACCCATTTTACAGATTACAAAATTAGAGCTAGAGAGCAGTGGACTAACATGCCCATGTAAGTGGTAGAGTTAGGGTTCCAAGAGGCATATTTTCAATCACCTTAATAAGTATTTCATACTGTTTTACTTTCACCAGCTAATCGATCATCCAGGTGTTGAAGGGTTGCAAAACATATATGGGAGGCCGGGTGCGGTGGCTCACGCCTATAATCCTAGCTCTCTGGGAGGCCGAGGCGGGCGGATTGCTCAAGGTCAGGAGTTCAAAACCATCCTGAGCAAGAGCGAGACCCCGTCTCTACTATAAATAGAAAGAAATTAATTGGCCAACTGATATGTATATAAAAAAATTAGCCGGGCATGGTGGCGCATGCCTGTAGTCCCAGCTACTCGGGAGGCTGAGGCAGAAGGATCTCTCGAGCCCAGGAGATTGAGGTTGCTGTGAGCTAGGCTGACGCCACGGCACTCACTCTAGCCTGGACAACAAAGTGAGACTCTGTCTCAAAAAAAAAACAAAAAACAAAAAACAAAAAACAAAAAAAAAAACATATATGGGAGAAACAGCTGAAATGAGATGTCAATCTACTCTTTAATTTTGTTTCTTCTGTGGATTGGAATATAACCTCCATCATTCTAGTTTAATGGCAAGAAACTTCAGCACTAAACATTTCAGTTGCGGAGCACGCAATGTGGTCTGTAGGAGCTTGGTTTGAAATTTGCTAAGCAAATTAAAAACTTGGAGAGAGACAGAAGCAAGCATCCTTGCCTATTGCTGAGAGTGTTCCTGGCAGCAAATTAATTAACTTTCTCTACCATTTTTGCGGTGCCCAGGGCAGAGATCCCAGACACCACCAAGCAAAGGACTGTTGGGCTTTGTGAGATCCAGTCACCATTAAAGACAGCTGGGTAAAATATGGTTTTAACAATCACAACTTCTTTTAAACATTGCCCTGAGTTCCAGCTGGCAGCTCTGGATATTTCTGCCTCTGTTCTCACCACTAAACTGAAAATCTTCCAGTGTCAAAGGAAAACCACTCGGCCCTCCCACGGCAGCCTCTCCCTCCTCCTAAAAGCTGTGTGCAGGCTGTAGTGCCCGAGCAGCGCACCTAATGGAGAAAAGGGAGGCCATAGCATGTGAGGCTTGCTAGACAAAGTCTTTTCTTTCTATTTGATCAGATTTTGTTTCTCACCTCCAGGGGTCCCTTTATGTTCCAGAAATGTGTCCATAGGCCACTGCACAATTCAGTGAAGATGAAATATCATCCAAGAAATGCATAGACTTTTTTGTCATTGCTTTGTTTCTGTAGAATTGTTTAAAACTCTGCAGAAACTTTTGAGTTTTGCTAGTGAGCACATTTATAAGGGAACGACACAGAAAAATGAAGAAATTCAGACAGTAGGTCATTAAGGCAAAGTCTTCTTCCCCCAAGACAAGATACCTCCAATACAGTAGAGCTACTGAATTTTTAAAAATCCTAAAAGAAAATTAACATCCTCAGAAGTCTTCATGTAGGCTTTTTGTTTGTTTGTTTTTCTGTAAGCAAGGCCTTTTATTAGAGGCGGCCCTAGAAAAATGGGCCTATGGGGCAAAATGTAGCCCCTCACTCAGCTGGATAGAAGATTCCAGTGGTCCCACGCGGCCTGTAGATTGTGCTCCTGCAGTAGGGAGAAGGCTAATTAGTGGAGAAGGGTGAGTAATCGTCACAGGCAAAAATAGAGGAAGAAAAAGATGAAAGGATATGATAAACATGTCTAACAGCAGCGTAGGTGAACTATGCCCAAGTTGAAATAGCTGACCAGGTGGTCGCCAACCACACTCCATCCTGGCTCTGGCCCTGTG